GCATTATCAGTACATATGCCATAAGGAAGCAGAGATATGATACGAAGAGAAGCATGGCTGTGTTCTGTTACATTTTTAATTATTGATTTTTAGTCTTAAATTCTCTGTAAGATCGCTGCCATGTTGAGATAGCATTACTAAAATGTTTGTAAAATGAAAAATTAATATTTGAAAAAAGACTGAATTCTTTTCTTTCAGACCACACAGAGCTGTTTTAATTATGCTTTTCATATGTTTTTTAGATCAGATCATTTCCCCCACCACAGTTTAAAATCTAGTGCTGATACATTTATTTATTACTCCCTTAAGGTATTAACATGATTTTGATGTATGCTAATAAAAATAATGATAAAATCTTGTGTAATAATTTTAAGAAACATAGGCTTATGAAAATTGCTAAAACCAATAGTTTTAACTTTTTCATTTGTATTTAATTTTAGTTAATGTAAATTTTAATATGTATTAAAATGTGAAATTTGTATATGTTTTCTATATCCATCTTCCTTAATGATACTAGTTTAGAAATATAACCACTAGTATTGAAAATTAGTCAGAAATGGTTTTTCATTTTTCTTTTGACTCTGAGAGCCACAGAAAAATTTGAAAAATCTTTCAAATTAAGATTAAAATTCTGGATTGTGTGTGTGTGTGTGTGTGTGTGTGTGTGTGCATACATGAGTGTGTGTTTACTTTTGGTTTCATTTTTGCTAGTTATACAGTTTGATTATAAAGTTGTGTTAAACCAGTAACAACTGAATGCTAAAATATAGGCTTAATACTAAATAAACTGTCAGTGTAGGGTATGTTAAATTCTTCAAAATAATTTAGTCAATATTAAAAGAAGCTATGCAAATATAAACATAATTATTCATTTTATGCTTTAAACAATTATTAAATTTAAAAATATTAAAAACACATTATTTTTTATTTATGGAAATTCTACAAATTTTACATTAAATTAAAATTAAAATAGGTGTTTCAAATAAACACACAGATTTCTATTTGTCTTTCATTTTAGAACACTTCTCTTTTTAACACCTTAAACTATACCAAGTTTATAGTAAAGATTCTAACATTGAGTGTTTATATGGAAACTTGCTAAAGAAGAAAACTCCAACCATATCCTCCACAACTCTTTAAGAAGCACTGGAGATGGATTCAAACATCTGCATTTCAAACAAACACTCCAGTTTTTCTGGCTCAGATGTTCATGGCACATGCTGTGAAAATCACAAGTCTACATGTATACAAAGACTTTAGATGCAAAATATTTGAAATAAAGTTAAATACTGATCAGGTAAATGGTCATTATTTAAGAAACTAGATATATGTGTTATATAAATATTATATAGTTTTATAACTCACGGGGTATTCTAGTTGTATAAATTGTAGCCAATTCTATGTCATATAGTATGTTGCTGCATAAAGGAGTTTTTTTATAAATATTGATTATTATAATTGTATGTGGATTTACACTTAAACTAAATATCATCATTTAAGATGTGGTGGCATGGATTCAGTTCTGAAGATATTACATTTAATTTACACTTATTTAGAACCACTAGAAGACTCTACGTATGTTTCACCACATTATATTCAACATGTTATTGATACTACACTTATAGTTTTATTCTACAATAATAGATGTCATGTTTTAGCCTGGAAAATATGTTTATATTCCCTTTATTTAAGGAATTTAAGCCATATTTTTGCCAAAAATAATTGCAAGTATAATCATTATTCAACTTACAGTTTCATCTTCTGTTGACTTTATCTTCTTCTTTATCTTCTGTAGCCATTCTCTGGATAAACAAACTAATTCTAATTTAGTGACTTAAAGAACTTATTTACTAAAAACAATATGAGTTTGCCTAAATTTTTGTTTTTCTTTAGGGGCAAAGACAAAAGCATTTTTGTGACTTTTGTTAGCAGGTGGTTCAGAAATGCCTCACTCAGAGAACTAAAGATTGTTACTCTGTCAATCAGAGTGAAGGGGAAGTCAAGATTCATCTGAACCATAGAACCATAGTAACCATAGCAACAGAAAATGAGTTTTTTGAGAAAAAAGTTCAACATAGTCAACTTTATACCTTTTGAAGTATTCCATAAAATATGGAACAATTTTATCACACTTGTTGTTACAATTAGAAGTTAGGGTTTACTAAGAGGAAAGTTTATAGTAATAAAAGCTTAAATTGGGAAGTAAGGAAAAGCTCAAATAAAAAAAACATAGCTTCATAGTTTCATGACTAAAAAAGAACAACAGAATCCTAAAGTAAATAGAAGTGAAGAGATAAGAAAAATAGAGTGGACAAAAATACAAAATTAAGAAAACGATTCACCACAATAAATGAAACCAGAAGATGATTTTTTTCCAGAGCAAGCAAGAATAATAAATCCTTAAACTCATGAAACCCAAATAAATTGGATCAGAGATTAAAGGGAAACAAGAATAATACACATTTTAAATCATAAGTAGTTACTATGAACAACTTTATGCCAATAACTTTAAAAATCTAAAAGAAATGAATTCATTTTTAGAACCATATAACCTGCCAAAACTAAATCAAGAGGAAATAGAAAATATGAACGGACATATCATGAGTAATGAAACTGAAACAGTAATTAAAAATGTACCTGAGAACAAAGCCCTAGTGGAGTTGGATTCACCACTTGGTGGAAAGCTCAAGCTCTCCCTTTTCTTTTGTTTCTTTTCATTGAAATACCATGAGGTACACAGCAGTTCATGATTGAGGTTCAGTCATACAATGTTTCAACATCCCTTCCTCCACAAGTGCACATTTCCCATCACCAATGTCCCAATTCCCCTCCCATAGGAGTACTGCCTCTGCCCTCCCCTTCCTGCCCACTGCCCCCCAGCCTCCCTCTCCAGTAGGCATTTTTTCTTCTTTCTCTTGTCTCTCTCTCTTTCCTTTGGGGCATTATGGTTTGTAATACAGCTAATGAAAGGTTATCATGGGAAACCTCAAGCTTTTATAGAATATCAAAGAAATGGGAATTACTTAACTGTTTCTATGAAGCCAGTATTACTCTATTACCCAACACAGCAGAGATCATACTGAGAAAGAACATTTCAGACTAATATGCTTGATAATTTCAATGCAAAGGTCTTAAGCAAAATATTAGCAATGAAAATTTAACAATATCAAAAGGGCAATATCTTATGATCAAGTGGAATTCATCACAGAAAAGCAAAAATATTTCAATATACAAACATCAATCAATGCAATACCCACCCATGGTTACGGTCCTCCTGTTGTTCATTGATTTACTCAAGCGGGCCCAGTAATGTCTCTATTGTGAGAATTTGTGTTACTGTGTTTGGCATATTGAATACGTCAGGAGTAGCTTGCCAGGCTTTGCCATGTGGGTGAGATACTCTCGGTAGCTTCCCAGGCTCTCGAGAGGGGCAGAGGAATTGAACCCGGCTTGGCTGGGCTGGCTGCGCACAAGGCAAATGCCCTATCGCTGTGCTATTATGCAGTATCCCATATCAATAAAATAAAAATTATATGACCATATAATTTGTTGCAGACAAAACTTGTTGACAAGATTCACAACCACTCATTTTTTATTTAAAACTGAACAAAATAGTAATAGAAGGAATGCACTTCAAGATAGTGATAGCCAGATACAACAAACTAACAGCAAACATGATATTGAATGGCAAAAAATTGAAAGCATTTTCTCCAAAATCACACACAAGGTAAGGATATTCATTCTCTACACCATTCAATATAATTTTTGAAATCCTTGCCACTTCAATTAACCAAGAAAATTAAATCAAAGACATTTAATTTGGAAAAGAAGTTAAACTATCATTTTTTGCAAATGACATGATAATATACATAGAAAATAACATATTCTACAAAAGTGTCTTAGAAAAAATAAACCAAAACAGCATAGTAGCAGGTTACAAAATCATTACCCAAAAATCTGTTACTTTTCTGTGTGTAAGCAATGAATTAGAAGAGAAATAAAAAAAGACAAGTTTATTCAAACTGTGTCCAAAAGCAGCAAGAACTAACTCTCAGTATGATTGGGGAACTGAGAGACTCATACATAAAAAAATTCATCACTTTTGAAGGAAAAGGTAGACGACATGAGAAACTGATGTTCATGGAACAGAAATGATGTTCATGGACTGGAAATACTCACATTATGCAGATTCTGAGAAATTCACAACAAAATACCAATGTCATTCTTCAAGAATTTAGATCAAATCCTACTGGAATTTGTATGGAGGGGCTGGAGAAATACTATAGCAGGAAAGGTGCTAGTCTTGCATGCTGCTGACCTAAGTTCGAATCCAAGTGCCACATATGGCCCCGAGCTCTGCAAGAAATGATACCTGAGCTCAGAGTCAGAAGTAAGCCCTGAGCACCTCTAGTTGTGACCTCCAAACAAAATCAAACAAGCAAAAATTGGTGTATGGATTGATAAAACTTCCCTAATGGCCAAAACCATTCTGATCAAAAAGGAGATGGGAGATATTACAGTCTCTGTTTTTAGACATACTCTATAGAGAGCCATAGTGATAAAACTCTGTCGTATTAGGATAGCAGAAACTCAGACAAATGGAATGTAATTGAAATCCAGAGATAAAGTAATTAGGTACATGAAGATGAGAGAGGAAGGAAGGAAGGATGGAAGGAAGAAGGGAGGGATGGAGGGAGGGAGGGGGGAAGAAAAAAACAAAAAAGAAAGAAACACACACAAATATTATAAGACACCCTACTGAATGGAAGAAAATATTTGCCCACAGTACATCAGATAAAGGACGAATATCTAAGTTATATAAATCACCAACATGCTCTACAAAAAAAATACCAAAAACACCATCAAAAATGGCAAGAGGTAAACAGACACATAGAGTGGTCAACAGGCATTTAAAAATGCTCATAATATTTTTATTGGATAAAAATAATAATTAGATACTACCTCACACCATTGAGAACGGTATATATAAAAAATACTGGATCTTTTTCCAGTTTATATGCATGATGATTGGGTGTTCACAAGATTTTTTAACATGTGTCTCCCTTAAACATTGTTATGTATTTGGTGCTTACTCACCTGATGTAAACAAGTAGTTTTTTCATATACCTTAAACATATATATATATACACACACACACACACACACACACACACACACACACAATGAAATATGGCAAAAGCAGAATCTTTTATCACTGTTGGTGGGAATGTCATCTCATTCAGCCTCTGTGAAAAATAATATGGACATTTCTTTAAAAACAAGAATAGAGGTTTTGTATAACCTTGTTATCCCACATTTTTGCATTTTCCAATAGTAAAAACTATTCATTCAAAAAGATATATTTACACCTATGTGTATTGCTGGGCTGGAGCGATAGCACAGCAGGTAGGGCATTTGCCTTGCACGTGGCCAACATGGCTGACCCGAGTTTGATTCCTCCGCCCCTCTCGAGAGCCCTGCAAGCTACTGAGAGTATCTCACCCACATGGCAAACCCTAGCAAGCTACCAGTGATGTATTAGATATGCCAAACACAGTAACAAGTCTCACAAAGTTACTGGACCTGCTCGAGCAAATCAATGAACAACGGGAAGACAGTGCTACAGTGCTACTTTAATATTTAATAAATTTAAATATTTAATTTTAATCTTGAATAAGGTGTTAAAATATAGCATATATATTATTTTCCTCAGTAACAAAAATTCAATTTTTACATAGATAAATTTCATTTATATTTACTCTAAAAAGAACTAACCTGAAGGCTATCATGCTTGATTTTTCATGTCTATAGCTGTAGTGCTATGTATGTTGCCTAACCTATAAGATAAAGATAAAGATAAAGGCCCTCCCGTTGATCGTCGATTTGCTTGAGCGGGCCCAGTAACGTCTGCATTGGAGACTTTGTTGTTACTGTGTCTGGCATATCGAATACTCTCGGTAGCTTGCTGGGCTCTCCGAGAGGGGCGGAGGAATCGAACTCGGGTCGGCCATGTTGGCCGCTTGTAAGGCGAACACCCTACCACTGTGCTATCGCTCCAGCCCTAACCTATAGGTTACTATAGGTTAGGTAACCTAACCTATAGGTTACTATAGGTTGCCTAACCTATACTAATAACAATTTATGAAAAACTATTTTTTAATTTTTTCTGCAAATATGGAATTACTGCATAGTAATTGAGCCCAAATAATTACATCCTAAAAGGAAAAGTAGCCTTTGATTGTCTACAGTAGGAATTAAATGTTCGTTGCCTCTTGTCATGCCATTTTTCTTAGTTAAACTATTTTCCTTTCAGTAATTGTCATTTGGCCATTGGCAGAAATTATCATGGCTGAACAGGGTTTCTTTTATTTCTACCAATACTTAAAGGATTTCTGCCTCTCCCAACACAATAATAGAGTATCAAGAGATTCATAAAATTTAATCTTCTTAATTCTGAATCATATTAGGAGCACTACAAACTGCAATAAAAAATTACTATGACATCTTATTACAAAGAGTGTTTCAGAAGTAGAAATCTGGCCAAAAATCTATGATTGTACTGATATCAGACATTCTTCAAATATCATGAGACATATCAATTAGATGATCAAGGAAAATTAAAAGTACTTTAAAACTAACAGGTCTTGAGTGTAATAAAAAAGTCAGTAGAGGCCTCAGTGGATTGGCTCTGTTAGTATTTAAAGGTACTCTCTAATTTTTTATCAATCATATTGGGAAGAACTTCTAAATTAGACTTCAAAGACATTGAGTCTTTTCTTGATTAAAATATAAATTAATTTACAAAATTTTGTCACTGTCACTGTTACTGTCCTCCCATTGTTCATCAATTTGCTCGAGCAGGCCCAGTGATGTCTCCATTGTAACAATTGTTACTGTGTTTGGCATATTGAATATGTCACTGGTAGCTTGCCAGGCTTTGCCATGGGGTCTGATACTCTCAGTAGCTTGTCAGGCTCTCTGAGAGGGGTGAAGGAATCGGGTCGGTCATGTTGGCCGTTTGCAAGGAAAATGCCCTACCCACTGTGCTATTGCTCCAGCCCAACTTTACAAAAATTTTAATAACTATTATTGGTTCAAAAGCCACTGAGATTTGCATACTGAGCTACTTTCTTTGCTTAAATAATCAAGAATTTGTTATATGAACAGAAAGTGATTATGAACATTATCTTTTGTTATTCTTCATTATTCTTCATGGCACTCAGAGGCTACTCCTGGCACGTTGGTTGGGGATCACTGTCAGTGGAATTTAAGGGCCATGCAGTTGAGGGGAGTCAGTCAAGTGCAATCTGGGGCCAGAGAGATACTACAGGACATTAGATACTTGTCTTCCACATGAATAACTCTGGTTCAAGTCACTGGCACCAAATATGGTTCCCCAAGCACTAATAAGGGTCGCTCCTGAGCACAGAGCCAAAAATAACCCCTGACTACTGCTGAGGTTGGTCCCGAAGCAAAACAAAGTCCAATCTTTTCACTTGTAAGTACATGTAATATCCCTTTCAACTAACTCTAAGGTCCTATTATTATATTTTTAATAAGTAAATAGTTCTTATCTCATCAATTGAATTTCAATGTGATTGAAAGTAATGTTTACATTTGCTACTTATTATTACAATGATATGGAAGAACATTGGGTGCAGCCACTTTATGTGAAAAATCTTATTAAGTTATTAAGTCTTGTTATAAACTTACCATACCAAAAAAATAGATGAAAACCTGATGCTTGGAAAGGTTTAGTACTTGCCCAATAGTTCAAAGTATTACATAGACATGCATTAAACACTAAAACCTGCATTACTGACCACAAGTTCAACACATATGTTTAGTTATGTTTAGTTATATATTCAAGTTGACATTAATTGATCCTCAAGAACTTGATTAAAATGATGTGAGTCAACAAAGTCAAACTGTCATTACCGATGGAAAAAAATTGTAGACAAAAAGCAACATGGGTCTCAAAATTAAGCGGCTGAAGAGAACCAGATACCATCTGTCCAGTTCCCATTTTGTAATCAACTAGAGTTAAGTCATGCAATATATTCATAATTTAACCTTCCTGGACATCATCAGTAAGAGTAATAGCACAGTGCTCTCATATACCAATGAAATATGCTCACAAGGAGAATACTATGAAATGGTGTTGTCAGCATGTCTTTCAAATAGACAACAATGAATGACAGTCTAAGGATTGTGGGAAAAAAATTCAGGTTGATGTATAGCTAATTAAAAAGTAGAGAAGTCTGGGGGGGTGCATTTAATAAAACACACCTTTGTGAAAAAGAACACGAGAAGGGATATTAACACAGGATGCTAAAAGTAAAATAGGGTAAAATGATAACTTAAGGGGATTCCTGGAAGATTCTGATCCCATATAAGGCCCTCGGGAAATTTACATTCATTCTTTAGCTTCAATCATAAGTGTGAAGTTTGTATCATACGGAATGCAGGAAGTTGAGAAGCTGAGAAACTTGAAAAGTGATGGTGGAAACTGTAGGGCAAATAAATGCAAGGATTTCGTTTATATGGAAGAGTTGTGATATTTCCTTTTAATATAGCTTACATTCACAAAATTCAGTTGTTTTCACAAACCTCCATAAAACTTCAGAATAAAAGAAACAATATAAAAGAAATAAGAAACATTTGAAGTATAAACTGTACTATTAAAATGTCCAATTCTAAAGAAAACGATCATATTCACTTAGTTGTATGTAGGAGAAGCTTTATGAAAAGATTAGAAAATTTCTGTATCAAATATAACTTTCACTTGTGTCTTTGTATAACTAAAAAGGAAAAAAATGAGGAGGGGGAAAAAGGAAATAGAGAGCCAATTATATGCTGATTTGCTAATGTTATTTTTTAGATTAAATGCCACTTCACATTACAAAATGTCTGGTACTTGAAGCTGTCAATTTTCTGAGCACTTTCTTGAGAAGTCTTGTCTTAGCAAAGAGAATGTTGAAATACAGGGCCTCAGGGGGCCAACCAAACTTTGACAGAGGTTTAACAGTCCTTGAAATTATATCCCTAAACCTTGGAGAGCCTGCTGATTCAGTGGGAAAGGACATAAGCCAAGCAAGTTATAAATAAACTCTTTTATCAGAGGCTATGGTGTCATGGTGACTTCAAAGACCAAACCAGGGATAGTAAGGTCTCTGATCTTCTGAAGACAGTAAGAACTTTATTATATTGGTCAAGCCATTCTTGGACCTAAGCTGAAATTCAATAACTAAATGTTTTTTATCTCTAATTAATAATTTTGAATGAATTCTAGTCAGTCAAATTCACTAATATGTATCACTTAATTTGAAAGACACAGCATGGCATTTCTTTTCTGATGTTATTACCTGTTCATTCTTATAGAAATATAAGTAGTCTAAAATAAAATGTCTTTATACTTTTGTCTCTCATAACAAAAAAATTTGTTCTAGAGAGCAAATTAAGTTATTATCAAGGCACAGAATATAGTACCTCTAGATTGCCTTGAATAAGTTAATAATGTGACTTTCTTGGTTCCAAAATAACTATCAAGGAAATAGTTTGATGTAGTGAATTGTATTCTTGTATATTTTCTGTTAGAGTTCAAGAGAATAATAAAGATAAATGTAATAATAGCCAACATTTATGTAGCTTCCAAGGTAAATATTCACTTGGTCAATATGAAAAGATTTAAAAATATGAACTGGAAAATAATGTTTAGAGAACCATTTTTGGAAAATAATCAAAGTACTATTTAAAAATCACTTAAGTACAATTTGAACTCTAGTGACTTCGAAAGGGAGTCAAGCAATTAAACATATGTCATACTATGACAAAAATTTTAGCACATAATGGATTAATCAGCTATAAACAGTACCTTTGTGTATGAGCATATATGTATGTATGTGTGTATGTTGTAAAAATGATAACCACAACTACCTAATGTATAAAACAAGAATTTTACATATGTCAACATACACATTATTTTATATATGAATGTATTCTTTTTTTTTCCTTTTTTGGGTCACGCCCAGTGATGCACAGGGTATACTCCGGCTCTGCACTCAGGAATTACTCCTGGCTGTGCTCGGGGGACCATATGGGAT